CCCCCTAAAGTTCTTTCTAAAATCCCTGTATGAAACCCTACCCTAAAAGTATAAATTGTCAGCTGAGGGTCACGAGTCATTCTGGGATGGATGCATTCATAAAGACTTGACATTTGCAGGTGCCTATGGGTTTGACTGATCACTGATAGCTGTTTCCTGCGCTTGCCTCTCTGTAGACTAACAGTTGATCTCTTTGTTTCTGGCCAGGTGGAGGCTGACTCATACTATGACAAGATGAGCTGGCGTGATCTGCATCAGCTTGCAAAGGATCGCAACATAGAGGGTGCCAAAAGGAAGGTTGGCTTGACCAAGGAAGTCCTGGTTGAACTCCTTATGGCCTCTGATGGGAAGAAGGCTACCACTCATGAGCCGGAAAAGCCTTCTACTACAAGGAGCAGTTTGGCAGACTTGCTCAAACCAAACAAGTCCGAGAGCACATTGAGCTTTTCGACTCCCGGTGGCAAGGGCGCGGACATCACAGACATGTTTCTAGACGTCAAGTCTGCCGAACAGCCCTCAACTCGCCAAAGCGTCAACATGGAGGCTGACTCTGTGGATGGCATCATCCCAAGTGTGGCAGTGGATAAATTCCATTTGGCAGCTGACATGCTCACGGGACCCAAGTGTTTGGGGATCCTTCTGGGCCACGAGCACAAATTTGGCAAGGGGACCAAGAGCTTCAAGCGCAATGTGGTGACCACCATGGTGTGCGGGCTGGAAGAGCAGCTGACTGGTGATTCTGGGTGTTGAATTATTGGGTTTATACTTTATTGAAGGGCTGGAAATGTCAAGACAATAGAACTGCCAACAATGGGCACTACAGTCTTCAAAGTAGGGTTTATAATACGGATATAGATCATATGGATTTGTATCAGAGTAGTTCCGAAGGCATTCAGAACACTAAGCGCTGAGGAGTTGCTGAACAACGAGATGGCTCAGACTGGCAAGTGCATTCTGGGCATCATGTTCACCACAGACACAGACCAGGCTACCTCCACTCGGCTCACTGAACGATTTGGCCCCAACCTCCTGCATGCTGAAGTGGGAGCTCCGGCTATGGAAGCAGAGAAGTTCTATGAGTGCGTGCGCTTCAAGCTGGTCACGGAACAGCATGAGGCTCGAGAAGCAAAGGTCTTCATTGCTGAGACTGGCCGTTGGGCCAACTTGAAGCTCAGGTTTCTTCCGGATGAGATAGAGGAGCTCAAGATCCGGAGCCGAAACCTTGGGCAATGTGCTGTTGAGAGAGCTGACAAAATCAGGGAAGGCCTCGTTGCTGAGAAGGAGAAGGCGGAGCAGCTTGTCAAGGGCAAGATGGAGCTTCGCGCCGGGGCCATTGAGAAGTTGGAGCAGCACAGTCAAAAGCTTCAGGAGGCCGGCTGTCTACGGGGAACTCTGGTTAGTGTATATATTGTTCTTCAGGAGGGCGGGTCGGTGCTGATATGAAATAAAGAGAGCGTCAAGTCTTCACTCTACTGAGGTAACTAGAACTTGCAGCGATGCACGGCTTTTGGCTTTTGATATAGAAGTATTATGCGATTCCTAGTTGTCAAGACTTCAAGCTTACATTTGTTGTTCTCTCTCAAATGTGGGTCTGGGTTCCTGTTCTCATAAGTACAAGTTGTTTGAATTTTTGTGTTACTTGTGCATTTGCGCATTGTACATGTGTATTAATATTATGCATATACTATGTAGAAGGCCCTATCTAGTGACCTGCCCAAGTCGGTTGCTATAGATGTCAAGACTTCTGTTATAGGACGTGACAGAGTTGAGCACTACAGTGGATGAGACATCCAAAGCCCTAGCAAGGGCTGCGCAGCTCCCTTTCTTTGGCGAGCCGTCAGACGAAGCCTCCAGAGCTTTCCAAGAGCTTTTTGAGACAGTGGGCATGTCTGAGGTGTTTGCGAGCCTTGAGCAGCCAACCACAGTGACAGTTCTTGGAAAACTGGGTGCCATGCACGAAGCAGCCAAGACAGCGGCTGAGAAAAAGTCAAAGCAGCTGAGCAACACTCAGCTGAAGATTCGGGGGCTGCAAGCTACCACATCCAATCGCCAGAAGAATGCCAAGAAGCAGGCATTGTTGAAGCTGGACGAGGAGGATCAAAAGTCTCTCCAGCAGAAGAGGAACACAAGGCGCCGCATGATTTGGAAACAGTTGATGGAGAAGAGAGGAAAGCAGCCTCGGAAAAGGATTCAAGAATCCTTTGATGGAATGGATCCCAAGCGAGTCTACAGACCCAAGCTGAGCATCCAAGACCGCCTGGAGGTTGTGGAGTGGGTCCTAAAGAAAAAGAAAGAGATGCAGGATCCTGAGCCGTGCGAGCCTGACAGCAATGCAGAATCGCTCGAAGAGGAGGAGGAATCCAATCGAGCCAAAAAAAGGCGCGGTTCAACTTGCAGAGGCTGGCGGAGATCGAATTCCCGGAGAGGGTTGGTCCCCATGTGAGCATCAGCCGATGGGTGAAGCAAGCATCTGTTCAGAAATGGCAAGATGTTCCTGAACACATCCGGAGACAGCACAAAGAGCTGCCCGATGTGTGGAAGGAGGCTGCTGGCCTGGCCTCCAAGAAAAAGGGGAAGGTGCGCTTGCAGAGTGTGCCGGCAGAGGTTCTGGCTTCGCTGGACGAACATATGTCCGTGATGACTTCCGGAGTGTCTAGCGTGACGGCGCGGAACGAAGAAGTCATGATCTGGCAGATTGTGCCTCGCGCTTGATTGGGCGTTTTTTCTCCTCCAAATCCGATATCTCCTGTGCACGTGCTTGCTGTCTTGACAATTGGGCAGTGACTGGTTGCACATACATGCAAGTCACTGTCTTGACATGTGGGCATTGTGCGAATCCCACCTGACTGCAGAAAACATGAACATGTTGCCCAGCCATTGTACATATATGATATGTATGCATCATTATGTATCATTATGTGCTGCTTCTGCAGGTCAACACTGCAGAGAAAATGTGCAAAGAGTGGAATGCGAAGATGAAGGAGAAGCGCCTGCAGCTGCAGAATGAGAAGGCCGAGCTCACGGCGGGCGTGCTGGATGGCACAGTCAACCCACAGGTCGTGCAGGAGATGAAGATCCCCACCCTGGCCTTAGCGCCTGAGAAACTGTCGAAGTGCTGGGCAATCAGGTTCCGCAGGGCTTATGGATGGATCAAAAGAGCGACAAACACGCAAGGAGTCTTCTTGGACTATCAGCATCCGAAAATGAAGGCAGCCAGGCTGGAATTTCAACAGGACATCAATGCAGGGGTGGACAGAAGGTTGTTTCTGAACGTCGACCAGCTGTGGCGAGCTGCCTACACTGGTACCAAAACCACTCTTCGCAAGGACTGCTTAAAAGAGCGTCTTGACAATTGGGTAGGGTAGCGGCATTGGAACTGGTTGCGCATACATGTAAGTCACTGTCCTGGCATGTGGATTAGCAATTCTCCTAGTGGAGGTGGATTGGCAATTCTCCTAGACGTTGCACACCTGTAAAGGGTCTAGGTCTGACAGGTCTGATACTTTGACAACCAGAGTTGTGTTTCCCGAGGAATTCCACCACAGGGTTACAACATGTACATAGGCTTGACATCTACAAAGGCTTACTTAAGTTTTGATGGTGTTTTCACGCCACTGCACCACTGTCAGCAGGAGCGGGCCAATCGTGGGAAAATGAAGAAAAGCGATCCGAAGGAGATTGGCACGTCATTGAACGACCATGTATCAAAGGCCCGCCTTTCCTTGACCATCATGACGTCCTCCTGGGCGGACTGCAGCCCAGGACCACTGGGAATTCATGTTCCTGCTGGTGTCATGGACGAAAAGGACCTTCAAGACTTTAACCAGGCTCACGTCGGCGATGCAGTGGCCATTTCAAGTGATACCCGCACGCACTTCATGTCAGAAACGACGTGGAACCAGCTTCTATATTCCCTGTACTCTCCAGCCTTTGACAAGCAGCGCAGGAAGTACAACTTGGATGCAACGAACAAAGGCAAGTTTTTGGCTGACGCCTGGTCTGGATTTATTAGGGGCTGCGATTCTGGCGAAAACATTGAGCGCAACGTATGGAGCCGTATGAACAACGTGGAGATGCCGACCCTTGGCCACAGTGTCAAGACTACTTGTGCAAGATTTGCGTTTTGTTTATGAGTGTGAATCGACTACTACCGTTCAAATCGACTCATGAGTGTGAAGACAATAGTCACCTTTACTAGCTCCTCCAACTGTTTTGCTGTCATTGGCCTTTGTAAGGAGCCCCCGTCCAGGGGGCTGGTCAGCTTGTGGCCAACCGGTCGATCAGCTACATAACGCCTATCGGCGTGAGCTTCAAGAACTCGGTGCGGAAAACCTCAGGTTCAACTCGGACCTCACCAAGCGGCCGCACTTCAGCGAGTTGGAATTGGGAAGGTCGGGGCAGCCAAAGAAAACCGTTTCCATGTCCCGGCAGCTGCTTGAAGAGACTTTGCAGGCATGGCGCCAAGTGCCAAAGACCTTCTTTTCAGCCGCGTGGGCTGTCTGCGGGTACTGCAGTAAAGAGGAGTCGATGAGTCTGCAAGATGCTTCGAGAGCACTTGATCCAACAGGGATGCTTCAAGCTTTTGGAGCCGAGGATGATGTGAGGCCGGTCAGAGGTGTGAAGCGTGTCCAGTGGCAGGTTGTGAGGGAGGATGATCACAGAGCAGCCATTCCCAGTGGCATAGCGATGCTTGCAGTGAGTTTGTATTGGTTTCTCATTCTCATCTATGGTTTCTTTTTGCCTTTGTGATCCCGTCCGTTCCGTGGTGATCAACATATCCACCCAATACACACAGTCTTGACACTGACATTGTGTGCTAGTCATTTGTGACTTTGGAGGTTTGTCGGAACGAATTGTTTGTTCGGTGGCTCAGTTTTGAACGCGGTGTTTCAGAATAGTCTTGCCATCTCAGGACTGCCTTGCAAAGAGCGGTTGCAAAGTTCACAAAGGAACGAAGCAAGCTGGTGCAGGATGGAGCAGGGAACGATTTGACAAGGAAGCAGAAGGACAGTCTTTCCAGCCTCTTTGCCAAGCCTATATGGATGGTGTTTCTACCACGCAAACAGAAGGTAGCACCGCCTCTGTGGATGCAGAAACACACGAAAATTGATCAACATGGGTCTATGGTTGTTACTTGCAAGAGGGGCAAGCCACAGTTGCTGGAGCTTCGCTTTCGTCCAGTCACTTTGTCTGGAGGTTCCGAGGTCAACTATGTTTCTGGAGGAGAATTCTACCTTTCAGGCCCAAACTTTCCTGCAGCTTTGGTCAAATGTGTGGCCCTGCAAGCAAGCGATGCAGCCGCAGCTCCATGGCGACTCGAAGAGTATGATGATGACAATGCGGATGAGGAGGGAAGCGACGGTGAGCAAAGTTCGGACCACCCTTCTGCTACAGAGTCTGCAGAGCAGGATGAAGTCTTGGAGCCACCTGCCCGATGGCAGCCTGACAGGCTGTATGAGAACTTCGAAGGCTCTGATTGTGAGAGGCACGATCTCTGGAAGCCGGAAGGCCAGGTAGAAGCTGAAGAGAGTGAAGCAGAATTTTGCGAGGCTGCAGAAGAGGATCATGGGGCAATTTCACGGCCTCGTGGAAAGACTACCTCAGCTGAATGGCTTCAAGTAGTTGCGGAGGGCTGGACCTACAAAATGCCCACAGTTGAGAACTCCACGCTCGGGCGGCGTGCCCATGGGCGTGGAGCGCACGCTATCCTATGGCGCATGGGCCTGAGTACTGCTCCCGAAGCTGGGGAAATGTACGGAGTCCTCTGGTGGCACTGCTGGAGTGCATGCATTGGCTCGTCTCATGCCACGCATCGCACGGTCCAAAGGAGGAGCGCGAGCATTGGAAGGCATTGGCAAATGAATTGTTCGAGCGATCGCTGAAGGAAGATGCAGACATGAAGGAGTACAGTCCCAGCATTCATGCGACTGATGAAGAAGCCGCCAAGGCAGCTGCGGAGGAAATAGTAGCTAGAAAGAAGGAGCACTGTTCTTCTTCAGCTTCTTTGGATCAGGTGTGTATAAGCGTTCAATTGTGCTTGATGGGTTTGCAAGCCAAGCACATAGACTTGACACTGGCTCTTCTGGGTAGGCTGCAAGCAGCACGCCTTTGAAGGAAGCGCATGCTGTAAAGGCCGTGAACTGTTCTGTTCTTCTCCAGCCTCATTGAATCAGGTCTGTAGGTGTTCTTCCCTTAGTTTTTGCATCCAGTGCAATAGACTTGACACTTGAATGTACCTTTGGGTTTGATTGCTGTTTGCTGTGCTTGCCTCTCCGTCAGCTTCTAGGAGAAGAAGGAAAAAGATGCAGAGGCGCAAAACGGTTGAACACCATTGGATCAAGCGTGTGTTCACTCTTAATCCTGCACTGGAAAAAAACAAAGCGGCTTCCCAACCAGCAACTCTCACCTAAACCTCCAACATCTTCCCCTTGGTACTGCCACCATTGCTGCCACGACCACCCAGACTCGGAAGATCTGCCCAAGTAAAGGGCGACTGGATGTCAAGACATCATAAGTGGCACCCTTCTGTCAGGCGAAGAAAAAGGAAGACAAGAACGATAAGAGCAATGAAGAAGCCGCCAAGGCAAGTGGGAGGGGTAGAGACTTGGGCAATCGCGTTTATCAAATGGAAATACTAGGCTTTGGAGGCAGATACTGCAGAGGCACAATAAACCTTCAAGATGTTCCTATACAATTATACAACTTTAAATTGTAGTCCTTAAAAAAGTATTGTCAGCTTGCAAAGGGCGAGGTCGCCCGTGATTTGTGATTGTATTCATTCACAAAGACATGACATTTGTAGGTACCTTTTGGTTTGGTAGGATGCTGCCAACAGTTTCAAATCCCAGGAGAAGAATGGACAGGGGCAAGATTCAGAGGCAGCACACCGTGTCTTGTAGAGGTAGCGAGAACT